GCGGAGTGTGAGGCACAGCGGCTTCAGAGTGAAAGGAACTGAGAGTGTCTGACGGTTATCTCAGCAACAGAGAGGTCATGAAATCGCCTGCTGATTCACTCCACTAAATAGCAAAGTGATTTTCGTGACAGCTTTCGAATACTGTTAATGTAGATTTTTGAAAATGACGGATAGATGTCATCTTTGCAAATATAGCTTCTCTTGGATAGGTGTCAAAATTACAAAAAGGCACTGGATTAAGTAATTAAAGAGGTCATATTATCCTCATTTCCAGGTTCAGAATCTTATTTAGGGATTGTACCAGAACAAGTCTCATTTTCAAAAAACACCATATTTTTGTCATACTGCACATTGCTGCAGCTCCTCTTTTCACCCTGTTTGTTGAATTCCTTGTTTTAGCTATGGAGTGATGCATCTTACCTCTACGAAATCTTTGTTGGGAGTTGCACATGCGCAGTTCCTAGCTAAGGACTACTAGCCAATCAGAAGCAGAGTAGGGCGGACCCTGAAAAGCCGGCTTCGGTTTATCTGTATATGTTCCCCTTACCAGCTTTGCAACATGGACTGGAACAAGAGTTTCAGAGTGGTGAGTTTTTAATGTAACAAATGTATCTTTCATCTATAAAGTTTTAACTGTGCACTGTCTCTACATCACAGTAACAACTTTATGTCCATTCACTACCTGGAGGGTAGCTAGTGTTTGGAAGGGAGAAGAGAGCTGCAGCTTAGTGTGTTTTTCCACCGGTGTATTTGAGGGTGTGGCAGACTAGCTGCTAGGCGAGCATTATGACGTTTATTTTGCTGTGACGTCACAGAGAACAAATTCAATTAAAGGCTGGAATACAAACGAGATGGGAACTCCCTTCAGGGTGCACTTTGCAAACCTATTACATGCACTAAAAGGGTATTTAACTCAAAGGAGAGAGAAAAAGCCTAAAGGCATGCATCTTTTTAAAGCATCTTCAACTTTATAGTTTATAATTAGAACAGTTTGTTATAGATAAAAAAAAGTTGTTTTCAAGTGGTGTGCATCTATTTGAAACTGTCTCTTCATTAAGTGGCAAGTTCACTTAAGGAAGAAACACCAAAACATCTTTATATTTAACACTATGGATACTAAGGTGTATACCACATTTTCCACATGCCCATGTGGTTTGCCAGTGGAGCTGAGAAATGACCCTGCATTGCTGGAGAACAAATATCCCTTCTTACTCACCTTAACTTATTCACAATATACACACACAGACACACACAGACACACACACACACACACACACACACACACACACACACCACTCCCATATGAGAACAATTACATGGCCTGCTCCCGTGAATAAATTTGTCTAATCAAGTTCTTTCTTCCCTGACATCCGTACCTAAATCCCTTGCTCCATGAAAAAAGCAAAGCATCCCCCAGCCTCCAAGACACCTCCAGCACCCCATCCTTCCATTACTCCCTCCTTCCTGTGCTGTCTGCGGCGTAAGTAGGAAAGACGGGTTAGTTAAGAAAGTAAAGTTTTCTTATATTGAGTGGAAAGTGCTTCACAATTGTAAAAGATAAAGTGAATAAAACATAATAAGAGAAAAGTGCTAACTGCATTTGAGCTGCTTTTGAAAAGGTGTCTACAGTGTCCATAAAGTCCAAAGAGAAAGAGAGAAAGAAAGAGAGAGTCTAAGACCCACAACTCCTAAAGCACCATCAAAAGATTGGATTTAAAGCGGCAACAATATACAGCTAAGGATCTCATATTACAATCTGTAATGAAAACTACACATGAACAATATAAATTCATTAATAATAACAACAAGAGATTTAAGAGATTAAAAAGGCAATTGAAAATAAAAGTTTTATAAAAAATCTCTAATGTCTTGATGAACCACATGCAGAAAGACATGTACAGAAAAAAATATATCCAAAATGATAATTAATTGACCAGTAAATACATGCATCCTTTTTGGGAAGTGGTCGCATTTTTTGTCCTGCTTTGTGTAGAAATCCTCTGTGCCTCTGAGATATCGGAGTACGTGTAATTTGAGACCTTTTAGTACACCTGGTAATAAGCCTTACAGAGGTAGTCTGAGCCACTTGTAAATGATCCAGTGATTACCTGCTAACACACATAAAAAGGGAGTCGCAGTGGTCCAAGTGGGATAAAATAAAGGCATGAATGATTATCTCCATCTGGAGGAACAATGAGCCAGGGTTTAGCAATATTCCATCCGTAGGTAAGAAGAGGAAGAACTCAAATCCTTGACACACTGGTCAAGAGTAAGAAAATGAATGAATGAAAGCTACCCGACCCATTCCTTCATCTTGTGGGATATCATGTCGGAACAGAAACAAGCAAATATTTTAAGTAATTATATAAAAAAAATGTTGTTGATATTTTGAGGTTAAGCAATATCGACATAGCCATGATAGGATAGGTACATCTCCAAAACTCCTAATCATCTTCCCAATGAAAAGCAGAACAGAAGGCAGAATAGGAACTAGGACAGAGAGGAGGTGATTCTTAATATGGTAGAATAGATATCAAAATTAGAAATACTAAAATTGGTCATGTTACAGTTTCTCCCATTCTAGAATAGAAATACTGTATATATAGTAGAAATATTGTATATATAGTAAATAGAATAGAAAGTAAATAGAAATAGAATAAATAGTATGTAAAAATGTTGTGCATTATACTAGAATATATATCAATATATATAGAAAGAAATAACAGAACATGTACAACAAATATGTGCACCATACTACAATATATAATAACAGTGTAAATAATGCAGTATGCAGTATCAAGGTCAGATAACGATGGGATAATTAAAGAACACAGACTGTTCAGCCAGCTACAAAGGCAACAACGGAGGGCAACAACAGACACACGCATACACACACGCGCACACCGCATGTCATCATTTGCTCCTCAGGTTAATGATCGTTTTGAGATGAAAAGCATGTACATGTGCAGTATGTGAGTGCACACTGTTTGCCATTTAGCCTGCTGTATATGTTAATTTATGCTCCTTCACATGTTTCTGCTGGCATCAATAAAAGTGTGGCACTGAATACTCTTCTCGTTCCACTCTTTGTCAGGGGAAGACGCCTGTTTCTTGACGTACCATTATGATTTTACCGGTTCTTGAAAACAGCTGCTTGTCTCGTGGCAACAGATGTCTCCCTGACAGAGTGAGTGCACAATGTGACGGCACACATGGCACATTGTGCACATCTTATGACAAAAAAGTATATATTACATCTATGATGGAGCAAATGTTACATTTTGAAAGACAGTTCAGCCTCAGACGCACAGCATACAGAAACCACAGACATGCAATGGCCAATCACTGTGATTTCCACTATTGGGGAACATTTTCAGTCAACAAGTGAAATCTTCTTTGATTTAGTCAGGATGGCAAAGGCCTGTTGCTATAAAACCATGTGAGCATAGATTTTCAAATCTTTTTCAAAATAGTTCAAATGCACAGCTGAAAGCTGATTTTTCAGGAGAACACATGATCACACTTGACACTACTGTCTGAGACAGCTTGAATATACTTTGTAAAAAACAAGGTTGCACTCATTGAAGCTTCAATTCAAAGCTTTCAAAGGAAGATAGCATGCAGTCCTCTAATGAGTTAATTGGTTAATTGGTCCAAAGTGAGGCATCCTCAAAATGTCTTGGACTGGGATAAAGAGATAAACATTGAATAACCACCTCCATCATTTCAAGCATCCATTCATACAGAGAAACTCTAAGAGCACAGACCATGCTGTCTGTACTGCTGCTAGGACAAAAGAGACAGGAGAGAGACATGTTGGGAACACAATGGGTGTCCATGCCTTTGGTTGCTTGGCAACTAAAATATACAGCTAATTTAGTTTGAGTTAAATTTCCACCCAACTTGTCTTTCACTATGCGCCCATTGTCAATTGGCAGTGATTTGCAGTGCACCTCAAATGTTGGCATAGTTTCTAGGTTTTCACACAGCAGTCTCAGATGTGCAAAAAGACATGCTTTCCATTAAAATGTGTATTTTTTGTCCTATTATTGGCCCCAGTGTAGTTGGGTTATTAGCAGAGCTAATGGTTACTGAGTGACTGAGAGAATTTCTTCACAATAGTGTTTTGTTTGTTCAGATCAGAGTTTGCATTAATATCAAATAGCAGTAATGGGCTCATTTAATGGTCACAGATGAGAAAATAGAGAGGCTTCTCACTATAAAACTGGAGAAATAAAGGTTTATCTCAAATAAATTACTTATCCTCTCCTGCTGTTATATTGATTTAGCCATTTTCATCTGGCAGTTTATTTTGTTGATACCAGTTAAGATACTGACTCACTGGTTAACAGTGTTGTCTCGCAGCAAAAAAGGCCTTGGTGTGAATCACAACCTAGAAGATGTAATTGTCAAGATATCACTTGACAGAGGCATGCTCACTTGGTGAAAAACACAACACAACTCCTCTTGGTTTTCTTTTTATCGAGTAATATTTCATCTTTTCAAAATACTGATTTTCTGTTTACACATTTTGGGGATCATTGAAAGCAAGTACAAAACCTGTAAATGCTTTTGTCCCATGTGACAAGTCCTATTCTGATTGATCCAAATAATGCCATGCTGAAAAACTGGAATGACAGACTTAACATGTTTTTCCGAACACACACTCACTGTAATTCACTGGTATCTGTACATGGATGAATCAGGTACATTTCTTTAGAGTAAGCCAATTAATGCGTTCTATTTTCATAGCTACACATGTGTCTTACATGACTCAAGTTAAATATCAGGATGCAAACAATATGCACTGTTAATGTTATTTAAAGCAACAAAGAATTTAGCTTTTGTTTCTGCCTTGATCTCCATTGGCATTCTCTTGGAATCATTGATTTTTAATCATGTGCCTAAAGAAAATAGGAGGGGAAATCAAATATAGACAAATAACAGGAATTCAAGGATGGATGGAAGGATGTACAGGCAGTTGAATAGATGGAACTTACTTTTTATGCTGATTCTCCTTTCGATCAGCCGAGCCAAGACTCTGGAAACAACAGAAGAATAACAGACATTACAATGACTATCTAAGACAGCCATATTGTGGTTCTCAAACTTTAAGTACTCACTTATAAAGAACACTCCCCTACATGCTATAAAACCATAGGATAAGTCAGAGGGCATATTTAGTATGTGTACATACAGTATATAGAGCGATTGTGTTTTATTACATTCATGTAGGCTTGGCTGTTCTGCAGACTCAGAAAAAAATAGCCGAATGTTATTAGTAGTAGTATAGTGCAGGCAGAAAATTATGTGTAAGCCTGTGACATAAAAAACATTAAGTTCTGCATAAAACGTATTGCCCCAAGTATGTTTACAGTATGTCTCAACGCTTCCACTAATGTGGACATTTACCTTCAAGGCAACACCAGTCAAATGATCCATGCCACGCTGTAAGAGCCTATTACATAGGTAATGACCTCGTCTCTAGTGGAAAATAATTAGTTCCCTGGCTACAATTACAAACACTTATCCAGTGATTTACTTGATTTACATGCATTTATCAAAATGTGGTGTCTGTGTATGAGAGTGCATGTGTATGTATGTCTAGGGGAAAAAAGTGAGTATGAGAGGAGGCAAGAAGAGAGAGTGAGAGACAAGTCATTTCCCTGATGATGAAGTCAACTAAGTTCTAAAACGCCAAGTGCTGCCAGCTCTGCTCAACAGGGGATGTTTGAATACATCCCTCCAGCAGAGCCGCCTTATTAGGCATGCATGCACAGCACACACATTGACACACCTATACCCAAAAGGTGCAGACACACAGACAGCATCCCCTTGCCGTCCGCATATTCTGGAAGTGTATAGCTCTCAGTGGTGACACATGCTGAGACAGACAGAAGCGCACACAGCGCAAGACTGGCCTTAGGCAGGCGACATTTTTGGAGTGAAATTCTGTTGCTGTTTTGCATTTTCACCCGAGGCAAGGAGGCTAATTCAGGCTCCTTATAATCGAGCCCTTCCCACCCCCTGCCACGCTCCATCAGCTGTAGCACCTTGGAGACTCAATAGAGCATCTGGACCACTTAGTGAGTGGGCCAGGCCAATACTGTCAGTCATTTAACAACATAATGTGCTTGTAACTCAGTGTAACCCACTGCACTTAATAGTAAATCTAATGAAATCTGATGTAGATATTCTCTGTTCCATAATCAAGGGTGAGTGCTTGTGTAGAGGCAGTGACTGGTTGGCTCATTTCCCTTAACAATGAAATTTACTCCCCCAATTTATGTTCATACTAAAACAGCACTGGTGAATAATATGTAAGAGGTGCAAAAAGCAAAGTAAATACAATATAATACAAAATATTGCAATGGTTTCAAGGCTCACATAAACCTTAATAATAGAATAAAAGAATATATTCACTCTAAAAACAAGTCTGTGAGATAGTGGTACAGGCATGGATGTATTCAGAGAACTTGTTACCATATTTCAATATGGTGCTCCATTCATTCCAAGGAAAGTTACTTATCAGGTGTCCACACCAAATAATGTTTTTCAGGCTTCTGCATTCTGGCAATTCAATGTCTCCCGCACAAACAGCAGAATACAACGTTATAAGCGACCAGTCTGAGGTGTAAAGTTGTGTGTGTCTGTGTGCAGCCTGGTGTTATTTGCACATGATTTAATTAAGGTAAACATGGTGGTCGGCCGTGCATAATGGTGTGGTGCTCTGGCGTGGCAGTTCTTAAATCGGAGGCTACAGATATCAATATATCAGTCCTGCTGCCTTCAGATGGCTGCAGGGATTTAAGAGAAGCTTTTCATACAGCTTAAAACAGCTGTTGACAACAGATGTTGTAAGACTCACTCATCGTTTTTGATCTATGCAGACTGATTTTCACCATCGTCCTTGATTTATCACATTAAAGGTTATTTTTTGATGCCGATTTAAAAACATGTACTGGTTGGAGAACATTTAAAGAAGCTGTATGCGACATTCACTGCCACTTAATGTTGCAATAGAACAACAGCATCTCAGACCAAAACAAATGAGGGCTACAGCCCAACCATTGAGAGCATACAGGCTATTGAGAAAAACTGTAATTTTACCTTGCAGATCAGCGAAAAACAAACTTCATTCAAACTGGACAGAAACATCTTAGTCTTTCCACTTTTCCAAGAATCTCCCAATCTGGTTTAGTCAAAATAAACCCTTAATTCATCTAAATATTCTGGCTTCAAAGACTGGCTACTACTTGGGAGCAAACTCTTCCACTAAAAGTGCAACATGACAGCATATCGGAAAGGATACCTATAGAGATAGACCTTTTTGTTAAACAGTAAGTTTACAGTAACTTTTTGTTTAATAAGAAACAGACATTTTATTACTCTTGCTCGCCACAGTTGAAAAAAACTCAGTTGAAAATAATTAACTTTGCAGATCATCTGTAAACACACTTCATTCAGACTGGACAGAAACAAAATAAGACTCACCAAACCCATCCTTGTTAGTCTTTCCACTGTTCCACCAATCACCAACTCTGGTTCGGTCAGAATAAATCCTTAATTCACGGTGTAAGATGAGAAAAGAAACCACAGTTTCACAGGGAGGGACTCACATGCACTAACATGCACGCACAGCCGGACCGGCAACCAAAACAAAGAACGGAGAAGCTCTGATGACGACACCACAGGGAGAGTGTGATGTCATTCTCTGCTCAGGACGCTGTTACTTCACTATATCGTTACATAGCAAGTAGTTGTTTGCTACTATATAAATGTTCAGAATCTCATATATAGAACATTTAATTAAAATTGTTTATTTACGTTTTAAGCGTTGTTATTGCTTTCGTGTTTCTATTCTCAGCACAACCTCACTTACTTTGTGCTGCCTGACTAGCATGAACCTCCCACCTGACTGCGCCTCTCCTCCCACCTGTGCACCATACGCCATAAGTTGTGGATGCGCCGATTGTCACCTTGTGCTGGTCTTTGTGCTACCACGAAAATGGGGCCTAATGTCTCCAATTTTATCTTTATAACACTGGAGCCATTAATGGACTAATCTACTCCTGTTCGATGACTCTGGTGCAACCTCTTTTCTATGACTCTCCATCAAAGTGTTTTGAGAACTGTCAGTGTATGCTTAAAAAAGAATTGAGGACATCAGAGGGAACTGTAGTTTGGAGTGAGTGTGTGTGCGCTTTTATGTGAGCAGCGCAATGACATATTGACCAGCAGGTGACTGCTCTAGTCTAGCGGTTGGGGAGTGTGTGTCTGTGCATGTGCTTTTATGTGTGCAGTACAGTGACATTTTGACCAGCGATTGACTTCTCCGTGGGTGTAAAGTCTGCACACGAGTTTCACCCTCCTGGTGGGGACAGGATAGGCCATACAGATTGACTGACCTTTCACCTCCCAGCTCCCCCACAGTGCCGTCAGGTAGTGCCACTTCCCATGGGGATGAGAGCAGGTTGATGTTCTTCATTTGAAAGACAGGTCTGAGGGGGCTTTCAGGCTGAATTAAACACCGCATCAGAGCTCAGATAACAAGGCTGCGATTGAATTTGTAATTTGTCTAAATTGTCTACTTTACAGGAACACCATTACTACAACAGATAGATTTTTGTCCATTCTGAGGTAGCGGAAACAAATAGTGAACACAATGCTGACATACTGACAGTTCAAAGCCATGACAAATTTGTCCTCGTTCAACTCTTCATATCATTACGTACAGTAAACAGTATATTTATAGTTCATAGTGCACTTTTTTATGTGCATAAAATGAACCGATATAATTTGATATTATCATCAATGACTTTTGAGCAATCACAGCCTCCCTCCCTCTTGTCATATAAAATGCACAACTTCTCAATTTCCAAAATCACAATATCATCATTCAGGAAATGTAATGACTGATTCCTGGGGGCTGACTAGGATCTATTTTTTTAGTTTATGACCACTTGAAACACTAAACAAACAAGCATACAAGCATTTCCCCATGTGACAGCGTGTCATGCACAATATCTTCTGTCAGACAGAAATGTACAGTATGTGAAGTCAATATTCATTTAAAATGCTGTTTCCATGTGGATTTCATTGTAGTTCAATCTGCCTACTTGGCAAAGGTGTGATCATTTATCAAATTAATGGCATTGAATGATAATTTGCTTATACTGTATGTACACCAGCTTCTCACAAACTTGGTTTACAGTGGTCATTCAACTCGCCATCTTCACTCTCTCACCTCTGCCCATCTGTAACGTTACTCACAGAAAGCATCACTAACAATCATACAAATTTAAGAGAAAATTTCCACTCAGGACTAACAGTTCATGCACAATCTCAACTCATACAAACACTTCCTCTCTCCGTCACTGCTCCGTCCTTAAATCCACCTGAACAAAAAAAATTTCCATAGACAATGGTAGCAAGAGGCATCATACCTGACAACTGCTATTAGCACCATAGTCAATTATCTTATGATAGCTGGGAAGGTATAGGCGACAAATTAGCTGGCTTTACCCACCAAGTATAATACTCTACTGTAATATTAATAATAATTACAGTCCTCAAATCATATATTGAATTCCAGTTTTTACCCACAGGCTTAGGTTTGCGTCTTCCTGTGTGTGTGTGTGTGTGTGTATAGAATCAGGTGTGTGTGAACGCATACTTTTACAACAGGTGCAAAAAAAACTTCCCTCACAGCTGTGAAATCACAGTGATAATACATGCTGTATTGTTGCCAAATCCCTCAAAAGCGTAATCCCTTTAACATGGTTTTCTTCAAAAACCGACTCACGAGCAAACAAAAATACACAAGCAGTGACACAGGCAAACACAAAAACCCCATCGTATTTGCGGAATACCTTCACTTTGCATCCATTGATTCCAGCAGACACACGTCTGTCGAGTCAAACCAAGTGAACCCAGCCGCAGAATGTTACTCCAGTGTCCCTGTCTTCTTTTTCTCTCCTGTTCTTAATACCCAAAGTCCTCAGTGTGGTGACCCTGTGGTGGCTCTAATTGCTGTTCACC